TGCAGGGTTGGGTACAGAGCTCTGACACTGACACATGCACTGCAGAATTGCCTTTCTCATTGTTATCAAGACAGTTATTCCCTCTCTCTTCATCTTTCATTCTTACATTGTTTCTTTCTGCAGATTCCTGACCAGGCCAGAGTTGCCCCTTCCCCCTCGGACCCCAAGGCCAAGTTCTTTGAGCTGATGAAGGTCAGGAGACATCCGTCTCTCTGTGTGTCTGCCTGCCTGTGAGTCTGTCCTTCTGTCTTTAACCCTGTCTCTGTCTCTGCCTGCTGTCTGTATGTGTGAGTCTGTGCCTGTGTCCTGTAGTGTGTCTCTGTAAAGGAAGACCTGTTAATCATACACAGTGTATACTGAGTGCTTGTCTCCTTCTGTCCCCTAAGGGCTCTGATATTGAGTCCTTTAACTACAAGCCCACGTCTCTGACCTCGCGGACACTGGACAAGATGCACCATGTGCTGGACTACCGCTGCATTGTGGGTGGAGGGGAGCAGCTCTTCCTGCTGGGGCTGGGGGTGAGTGGAGGGCGTTGCCTGTTAACTCGCACTGTTAGCTCCTCTTTGACACTGATCGAGTTCCTTTTCCATCTAAATGTGAGCTTCACAAGCCAGACCTGTTTCTAACATCCCTTGCAGACAGTCTCTGTAGTCACAATCCTGAAGCAGAGCATCGGGCTCCGTCTGATCTGCACAGGAGATTGAAGATTACAGTCCAGGCACTGCTGCATTCTTGCATATTACATGTGCAGAATCCCTGCTGACCTCAGTCTCACCTGGGGTCAGAATCTTCCCTATACCAGATACAAGAATCCGGTCCTGTGCCTGTGTCATTGTCAGACGCAGAACTGTTAACAAGCTCACCTGTGTGCCTGTCAGAAATCCCAGATCTACACATGGGATGGGAAGTCTCCTGTACGCTGGAAGAAGCTGGAGAACTTCAAGATGGAGCTGCCCAGGGACACGCTGCTGAGCGTGGAGATCGTGCAGGAACTGAAGGGAGAGGTACTGACTCCGCAAGGCTCTCTCCGCAAAGCTTAGTGGAGGCGTACTCAGTGTCAGTGCTGATGAGCGAGCTTCAGCGCTGCCCTTGTTTGGGGTGTGGCCTATTGGACTTCAGCAGAAGGACAAACTCCCACTTTTTGTATCTGTTTATCAGAAACTGGTCAGGCATTGTGAGCCTTTTAGTCAGAAATAAAGAAACAAATTCTTAATTGGCTAGTTTTGGAGAGACTGCAGAATGTTCTGTCTGCTGACCCTCTTGCAGCTACATACTTCAGCCAGGGTGCCTTTGACACCGAGGTCAGAATCCAGAGAAATGCCTGTCCACCAGTGATTAAGGGCTGAGTAAGAATGAGTGGACAAAGGGTTCGAAAGGACAGGTCCCTCAGGACTGAACCCACTATTCCCAGACACTGTGGGGAAGGGAACACGGCCATCAGAATCGTAGGGTACATAGCTAAATAGGCAAAATTTAATTAGGAGAGAGATCCTACGGTAGAATTGTGCAAAACATTAATATGACTTAATTTAAAATACATGACCCTGTGTACAGGTTTGGTCACATTACAAAGAAATGAAGAAATACTTTGTCTAGAGTTTATTGCATGCAGGTAGCAGGATTGTTCACAGTAAGTACTGGAAGGCCTGAATCTAGAGAGCCAGGTCCTTCTCTCTACAGTGTGGGAAAGGGGGAGAAATAAACCTGGGCACTGAGTGCAAAGTGTGAGCTTCAGCTTAGGGGGTACTGGAATCGGGCGAGTGAATGAGCAAGGCCTGCTGGATGAACCCTTCCGTTCCGCGACTCTTACGGCCTGCTGTTGTGCCACGTGTGTCCGCAGGGTAAGGCACAGCGCCGGATTGGTGCTGTGCACGTCCTTGATGCGCTGGTACTGAATGGGACGGATGTGCGGGACCAGCACTTTAACCAGAGGTGAGCCCCCCACTCTTTCTCCAAGTGTGCAGTCTCTCCAGTGTAACCGTGCGCAAGTCCGCAACTAGAGTCTGGCTCATTGTGAAGGCACAGAGTCTCCTATTTCACAGTCATAAAGACAGCAGAGATACACCATCCTACGCCAGCGTGCTATACTGATCAGATGATAATGCCATTCATGAATGGCCCCTCAGCCCAGTGAGCTGCAGCAGGACTAATCCAGCACGGTGATCACACCATGCATGTGTAGACTGCTGCTCACCTCTGCCCAGTGGCTGACCCCTCTGCCTGTGCTTGCCGGTCTCTCAGGGTCCAGATGGCAGAGAAGTTTGTGCGAGCCGTTTCCAAACCCAGCCGGCCAGACATGAACCCCATCAGGTGAGACTTGAGACCTCCCTTGTCCTGAGTCACCATGGGCTCCCTCTCCACAGTTGAACCACGCGGCCAGTTGTACTGGTAATGCAGAAAAACAAATTTATGGTCCGTGAATTCTGAATGTTACTGTAGAACTGTTTGTCTTTCAGTGCAGAATTGCTGCCGGGGCAACCGAAATTAAATTATTTCCAGCACCTGGTACTTGCAGGCTGGTGGAGCCCTGTGCACTTTGCCGCAAGAGTTTCAATTTCATCACTCATTGTGTCCCCATTAAAATACAGCTCTGTGCCGGCGTGCGCTACTGTGCGTCTGAAAGAGATCCCTGTTGGAGTGTTACAGTATCAGAACTGTGAGCTGCAGCTGTGATTGTCCTTCTTCCTGTTCCAGAGTGAAGGAGGTGTACAGGCTGGAGGAGATGGAGAAGATCTTCGTCAGGTAAGAGAGCGGTCAGAGGAGGAAGAGGAGCGGTGAGGGTATAGTCAGGGAGCCTGGGCAACTGGAGGTGATGCCAGAGAATGGAAAGGTGACTCCCAGGGTCTGAGCTTCATCAGCCTGTCAGGGTGGTGCAGAGCAAAGCAGATGGGTGAGGCAGATGGGCCGCAAGCCCGGAGCCGGAGGGAGAGAGCCGCCCGGCGCAGGTCCCGACGAGGAGGTGGGAGGATACCGATTCGCGCGCATGTTCGTGAAGTGTTGCCCGTTGTTTCAGGCTGGAGATGAAGGTGACCAAGAGCTCCGGGGGCTTCCCGCGCCTCTCTTACACCGGGAGGGACGACCGGCACTTCCTTCCCACCGGACTGTACATCATCAAAACTGTCAATGGTGAGACGCGCTCAGACACACAGAGAGACAGACGGTAGAGAGAGAGGTGGGTACGTAGGCAGAGCACAGAGCTGGAGACCGAGCTGGGCGGGGTGTCGGAGAGAGAGGGAGGCAGGAGTGCAGTGTCGGTGATTCCCAGCGCTTCAGTCTTAAAAAAAACCCCCACGAGCACGGGCACAGAAATCGTCACTTCTTCCGACTGAGAAGCTCCCACTGGGAAAGCGATTTGCAGGTGTGGATGGGCTTGACCTGCTGCCTTTAAAAGGGAAGCAGTTTTTACCATGTTTTGTGTGCAGAAAACCCAAGGTTGAAAAGTACTGCCCGTCGTAAGAATAACTTTTATCAACAGCAATAATGTTTATAAATCATTACACCCCTGGGGGTTAAAATGACAAAACAGGGACATAATCAAAGCAATGTAAAAACCAGCTTGCTAGGCAGGAAAATTATAAAGATTAATATTTCAATCCCCCAAATTTGGGAAGACCAAGCATTAGGTGATACGTGCTCTTTGATTCACTGGTGGAGTTCGGTAGAGTACTGACAGTAAATAACAGTAGTTATAATATCAACAACTGTTACACTATGCGTCAATATTTAAAATTCAGTGTATACCTGGATCTAGTCTCCCCTGTTATAAATGGAAGAGATTTAGCTCCCTCAACCTTTCTATACCAAGAGCAGGAATTGTTTTTCTGCTTTCGCTTGACATTTCTAAGGCTATTGTTACTTCCGTGGTCAGAGCGACTCGTGTCCTGCTGTTGCCTCTGAGGGGACTCAGCCTGCATCTAACCCTGTACAGACTCCCTCAGGACACATCTCCCAGCCCCTGTTCCTCTATCAATCAGGAACACCTTCCTCATCCAATTCTCTGGTCAGTGCTCTGACATTGAGCCATGCTCAGTTTCTCTTCTCCTTACTGAAGCCCTACTTGACTTTCTGCAGGGAACTTGTGTTTTTCCACACTGCCTTTCCATTGAGCCCTACTTCCTCTGAGCACCTCAGCTCATCTGCCTCAGGAATTAAGGCAAACTTTGCCACCCCTGAAGTCTCACTGAGCGCTTGCACCTGGAGCTTGGCTTGCCATTCACCACGGTCCCTGTAGGACAATTGGAACGTGGCTTCTGTGCTTGCCACTCTTCCCCTGCTAAATATCATCAGAAACGTCTGACTAGTTCGCTAACTGTACTAACATCTTGATTGTTAATACAGTTCAGGAAGTGCAAGAGGTCTACAATGGATCCCAGTTGTACCACTACTCACATCTTCCTGTGAGGCTCCACCCCTTCAGTCCACACAGTTTCCAGTTTGTTAACCAGTTCTCCACCCCACTGCTGAATGTATCTTGATTATTCTTGTGTAATTTGGGAATCAAGCTTTTATGAGGACCTTACCAAACTCCTTCTGGAAAGCTAAACATGTCATTTTCTTTAGTGTTATCTAATGTCCTTCTGGCTCGATTAAAGAATTTTAAAAACGTTAGTTTGACAAGACCTTTACCTCTCTAAACCCATGTTGGCTGTCTGTTAAATGACTTTTTTTATAAACATTCTTCTGATTTAGTTCTACAATCTTCTAGCAACAGAAAACTGTATTTTCTTGGTTCTGACAAACTAATGGGTCGACGATGATGGTGATGTCCTTGTTTTTCCTATTCTTGCTTCTTCTGATTTGCCCTTTCCAATGGGGCCTGGCTTAATGACCTCACAAGGAATGTTTTACTCACTGTTGAATATTAATGGTTAATTTGTCTGACCAAATGATCTAACAGTGACTTGCGATGATTATTAGGAACACCCTTTGATCATCTGTAACTCACAAAGACAGCCGTGTAGACACAGTACACATTGATCCAAACCTTCAGAATGAGGCGATCAAGGTGAGAAATGCAAACACCCTCATCCTTAAACAGGGCATAATTTAACATGATGACTTCTGTTTTCACCCTTTTTATAAAATGAATGAAGTCCTGTAGTATCACGATTATATTCCTCCTCTTTAGAGCAAGTTTAATAATTCAAGACACTGTAATGATTTGGAAATTCTCACTTCATTCTTTTATAAAGAGCTTAACATTTCTCTCTTTATCAATAATTATCATGGTGCATTGAAAACGTTTGCTGGAGAATGAATCAAATGAAGTGATCTTAAGAGCACAGGGTGGGGAAAAAGATCCGTCAACAATATCAGTGTGCTGCAGTAACTGTGGACAAGATCCCACGTCTGTTGTATGATAGTCGCACAATCACACGCACTTCTCTCTTCTCTGACTGCAGACCCCTGGACGATGGCCTACAGTAAGAATTCCAAGAGGAAGTTTTTCTACAACAGACTGAGCAAAGAGTCCACCTATGAACTTCCTCCTAACGCAGTGGCCCCCTTTCAGTGAGTACCCTGTTTGGGGGTGGGTTAGGGTGGATCCCCTTTCAGTGAGTACCCTGTTTGGGGGTGGGTTAGGGTGGATCCCAGCTGTCTCTGCCTTCACCTTTTACTATGGGTATCATGCTTATGACTGATGGTCTCCTGTTCTCTGCTTGTCACTCCTTAGTATCTGTCACGTCGAGCGTCTGTTCTGGGCCTGGGAGGACGGTGTGAAAGTTCATGACTCCCAGACGCGGATCGACCCCGAGAAGCTATCCAAGGAGGACATACTCTCCTTCATCCACCAGCACTATCAACCCTGAGAGAGACCGCCCCGGGCCAACTACCCCTGGCACCAGACGTCTCAACCCTGAGAGAGACCGCCCCGGGCCAACTACCCCTGGCACCAGACGTCTCAACCCTGAGAGAGACTGCCCCGGGCCAACTACCCCTGACACCAGACATCTTAACCCTGACAGGATAACTACTCCCGACTCCAGACGTTTCAACCCTGAGAGAGACTGTCCCGGACCGACTGCCCCCGACACCAGACGACACAGCCCTGACAAGATAACTACCCCCGACACCAGACGTCTCAGCCCTGAGAGAAACTGCCCCTGTCATGACATGATAACTACTCCTGACACCAGATATCACAGCACTACGAGAGACTGTTCCAGCCCTAAAAGGATAATTACCCCTGACACCAGACGTCCCAGTCCTGAGAGAGATTACCCCAGTCCTGACAGTATAACTATCCCATCAGCCCTGGCTGCTTCAGTTGTTAAAGCCCTGACTAACTCTGCGCTCTTCACCAAAGTGATTTCTGACAGCGTGGCGGCTGTTCTGGGTGTGATGGGACGCATTGATACACACCGCTGAGACCCTGTTCTGCTCCTTTTCAATATGACCAGTAGCTGGGACAGGGATTCCTCTGAATGTCCTGTCTGGGTTTAGGTAGTATTATTGTGTTGTTCTTAAAGGTCTTATCTCCATCCACCCAGCCATGAAAATATTTTATGTATCATTAATTGCGTTTGATTCATAGTTTATGTAATAATGGAAAAAGTCTATGTGCTGATGGCACTGTTTTTATTTTATATATTCACAGATGTGACTGTCAGTAGTACTCTGTATGGAGCTACGTCACTATGGAGAGATGGTGGTAGAACTTGCAATGTCAGTTCAGCTCTGACCTGCAGACAGTGCCAGTGTGGACAGAGCATTGAGCAGCAGTGACTGTGTATTCTTTTAGGGGGGTGGTGGTGAGACCTTCTGTGTCCTGGCCTTCCCCCTGAGCAGCAAGCAGCTGCCCTCCCTCTCCGAGCGCCCCGAGACTGCAGCACAGCACCGCAGACACTGCTGGGCTTCGTCCGACCTCTTCTCCTTTCTGTTGCAGAGTGTGTTGAAGCCGATGGCAGCCGGTCCCCCAAAAAAGCTGGCCTAGTCAAAAAGAAATAAAATCCTTTGTGTTCTTAAACCTTTGAAAGTTTGTTTTTTAGGAGCGCTCACAATTCCAGGTTGCAGGTGGTAACAGCGAGGAAAGCCGGAAGCCTGGTTTCTGAAGCCCAAACACTGGTTTCCATCGCAAAATGGCCGTCGGAGCAACTACAGAACCTTCCACACAGGCTAGGTGCCCTGAATTGGCCTCCCCTTACCTGCAGTGTTAATTTCTTATAGCAGTTCTCTAAGTGTCAGGATTGCCTGTTCAGTAAGAAGCTACTGGACATAATGAAGGCTGCATAGAGAGCAGGTCATTCCGGTTCTGGCCCTTCTTGCTCATCTGGTTGCAAGAACCTTAATGTTCGAGTGAGGAGCTGCATCAGCATGTGCCGACTGCAGAGGAACAAATACAAGTTCCTTCCACCCTGAAAAGGAGAGAGAATCAATCTGTCCCTGTCCCCTGTGCTTTATATCCCTGCTACCTTCCTCTCTCTCCTTCACAGACTTATGTCCCTGTCGCCTGAAGAGACTCAACAAGCAAAACCCTGAATTTGTTTTATATGCTTTTCAGTGTGGAATTAACCTTCACTTGTTCCTGTATACATAGATCCATCTTTTTTAAAGCACCCTTAGGAGTCACGATCAACAACATGTCTGAGGAGATGGTTTCACAATCCTCTGTCTAAAGAAGTGTCTGCTTTGAATAATTCTAAAATTCGTTTTGTTTGGGGCAGCTGATCTTCAGTTCTCCTGAGCTAATTTTTTCAGTGTCTTTCTGGACCAGAAATATATATTTTTTGTACCACAGTAACCAAACTGAACACCAAATTAGTTGTAACAAATGCCTGACAACAAATGCGTAACTGTGCATGACTTCCCTTCATTTAAATTCTTGTCTTAATGAAGGACTTTATTGGCCCTTGGTCCCAAAACTCCTAGATATGCAGCACCACGCCTGTCTGGAGGGTGCAGCTGTGGGTAGTTAATCCCACTAACCCATTTTATCATCTTCTAGACTGAGCCAGCCTGCTCTCCGGCTCAGCTGCCTCTCAAAGGCTTACTGCACACTGTGGCACCAGCCCAGTTTTAAACCAAAGTTCAGGAGAAGGTCAGACCCTAACCTTGCCCACTTCCACTCCACTCTGTGTAGATATCCTTCTCCTTTGGCCTCGCTGTACGTTCCCTCACCGAAGCGTGCCTGACAGTCTCGCTCCACACTTACCCTGCTGCCTGATGCCTCTGTGGGGCCCTGCTGTCAGAGCCCGAGCAGCAGATCGCCTGAGAGAACAGAACATGTGCAAGGAGCTCCTCGATCTCTGCCTCCACACGCGTTTCTTTGCCATCACTAACACAACCAAGGAAATCATCAGGACAAACTAGTGAGAACTCAGATTGGCCAAATCGAGCTCCAAGTTCAAACCTAATGGAGGTCCCGCTCCCCCTTAACACACTCCTGTCCCCCGGGGCACTGTGTTCAGGGTCCAGCAAGGAGGCAGTCCTGCTTCCCCTCAACACACTCTCAACCCCTGGGGCTCTGCGTTCAGGGTCCGGCGAGGAAGCAGTCCCTCTCCCCCTCAACAGACTCCCATCCCCCGGGGCTCTGCGTTCAGGGTCCGGCGAGGAGGCAGCCCCGCTCCCCCTCAATACACTCTGGTGCCCCAGGGCTCCGTGTTCAGGGTTTTGAAGTGAAGGCTGGATGCACCGTGTTGATGTCAAGAACTCACTCCAGTTCTGGAGAGACCTGGATGTTCATTACTTGTATTACTACTCCACCACATTAAATTAAGCACAACACTTGACCTCACGTTACATTACTCCCTGACCAGTGGAGGGGAAGAGTTTATTTGATTCTAACACATTGAAGTTAGTGGCAGGTCAAGTTCTTCTAAGGACATACACAGTACATATAAAATGAAGGCACAGAGAACCTGGCCCAGAAACCCAGCGGTGACAGATCTGATCTTCTCTCTCCAGAAGACTTGAGTCCTGTGAAGCAGGAGCGAAGGACCTTGAGGCCCAAGTGAGAGCTCCGCTCCTCCATCACCCCTGCTTGTGTCCTCAGGAGCCCGTGGATCCCGGAAGCCTGTCTAGGAACCCGGGACTGCGGGCAGGAGAAGGCCTCCAGGGGGAGCTGGCGCTGATACTCACAGCCTGCTGCACCAGGGCTCTGGGCTCAGTAGATCAGGGAAAAGTAGATCAGAGCACAGACAGCCAGCAGAGCCACCGACAGCAGCATGTTCTTCCTGTTCTCTGCCCGCAGCACCGCCAGCTCCTGATCTGAGGACAGACAGACACAGGGCCCTTATACCGAGGACACCCACAGACACAGGGCCCTTTTATACTGAGGACACCCACAGACACAGGGCCCTT